TACCGGTGCGATGCTCTACCAACTAAGCTATGAAGCCACACATTGGGAGCGAAATACTCCATAATAAGAAGAATAATATTCTTCACTTTCAAGCTGCGCTTTTGTTCGCTTGGAATTTTTCAATGCCTTCGAGATTTAAATCACAAATATAGAAGCAAACAAAACACTGATACGTTGACACGGTGACATTTTATAGACCACAACAGCAGGGACCTTTTAGAAACCACAACGTCAGCGAAAAAGTCACAGAACGTAAGGGTTTAATGAGTGGTACAATGGCTCTGCGCGCGTTATAAATCTCTGTAAATTTCTTAGCCAACCTATGCAAAACATACCAGTACACCACGGGGGCATTATTTTTATTGGAATTAAACGATTTGGATTGTACTGGCAGGATTCTAAAGGAGCCTAAAGTAGCCTGTGAAAAGGCTCCCGGTGAGCCCGTCCCGCCCCGATCGCTTCACGTTCCAAATTCTTCAGTTCCGCGCTCGCCGAATTTTTTTTCCGTCCTAGCCGGGAGCCTGTTCGCAGGCTAAGCCTAAAGTAAAATGATAATCCATTTTCGAATAGGCGTCGCCGTCATCGCGGCGCAAAAGAATCATCGCGGGCAAAAGAACTAGCGCTGAATAGAAAATTGCGAATTTACACAATTTCCGAAAAAGAGGACAACCTCTTGAGGTATAGCCAAATTTTCGAAAAAAAATTTCCTGGAAATTTCCGTTACATTTGATTTTCATTCTGGAATTTCCGGAATTTTCGGTTGAATGGTTCGCTTTTCTCCGAATTCGACAATTTCAGGATTTTCTGGAACCTTTCCCTGTAAATTTCCATACCACTTGTCCCGGTTTCGAAAATTTCGGAATTTTGGGTTGAATGGAAAGCGCCCCAGATCTATATTGCAGCTCGTTGTCCTTTCCGTATTCGACTCCGCTCTTGACTAAGCTGGCGAAATCGAACGGCACCTCACTTGCGACTGAAATCTCCCCATGCGCGCGCGCAAAAGCTCACCGGGGGAGGACTCTCATAATTAAAGGACGGGGGTGCTCATCGTTCCTTTAAGGGGTTAAAAAAACGGTCTTAAAGGTCCACAGCGGGAGCGTTTACGGTACCTTTGAGGGTATTGAACCGAAAAAAATTTGGCAGTGAAATAACTTTCAAGCCACGCCCACAAACAGGACCTTGGTACCTCTTAGGGGTTCAATGAAAAATTTCCGACGAGCAACCAGTCTTATGAACCCGTCCTCTCTATCCTTTGCCTCCCTTGTTTGGAGAGAGAGAGCCTGAGATCGAGGTTGGCGCGCTATGCCTTGTTTCTCTAGCCCCTATTATAGCCGACGAGATTGGAAAATCAGCTTAGTTTGAGATTGTCAGTTTAATTACACTTGCTTGTGAATACGTCTTTCAAGACAATGCCGAAGGCAATTCGAAGAAAAATCTGCTTTTCCATTTTTGTCCGGGCTTTTTAATCTCTTCAGACTCTTATTCATCACTGAAACAAGGCCAAGACTAAAGAAATTGTGACGTCATCGATAATTTCACTCGCGCTCTTATGTGGAACTTTCACGTTTGGCAAAGACGAATTTGAGGTCAACTCGAAAAAGCCATTATGAGAAGAAATTGAGACTTCAAAACACCAATACGAGAACGGTGACTGCAAAGAGGATTACAATTGAAATAAAACACAACTAATCTTTAATTCACTTAAAATGAACGCGAACTTCCATTTTAGGCGCGAATATGAGCAAGTTTTGAATTTGTTTCAATCACTGTTCTTCAAAAACTTAAATCAAACCAGGACGGTGCTTTTTCATCATAACTAAATTTCTTAGGAGAATGAATGACCAGATGCATATCTACGATTCACGTGCAGCATTTCAGGATATTCTGAGAAAACCAATATGACGTCATACTGGTGTCACTGGTAATAAGTGTTATGCCGACAATGTAAAAGGAAGTACAAGATATATTACTGATTAATACTGATTAGTATAGGGAGTGACAAGGGTTCTCACGCTTTGGGAGTTATAGATTCACATTATAAAATTGGCTCAGGCTCACACAAATAGCAACGTTCTGGTGATTTACCCTCGTGTTTGCATTAATAAAAGATAACCGTCAAAATAAACTAATGAAAGCTGGCGTTGTTCAAGAATATTATAGTTTCCAAGCAATATTATTTTCAAGTCCCCAGTTGTATTCCATGAAAAGCGTTCAAAAACTGCTAAAAAACAGTGTAAATTAAAATGTCCAGTGCCAACAAAGTAGAGATTTGCTGTCAGGGATAGGTGTAACGAAAATTCTATCGACTTCCAACATTGCCATCATGATGCTTTATTTGTCTTGGCAAAAAGTAAGTAATACTATTAAATAAGTTTTCTTTCGATTGATTTATTATGGCGGGTTTGAATTTGGCGAACTTTTGACCGGATGCTAGAATTATCGAAAATAAAACTCATGCGAAAATAAAAGACATTGATCATGGACCGAACAAAGCAGAGATATTGAAATCATTACTACTGATTTCATGTTAAGACAAGGAAGACTTTATTTAACGGAATACGAAATCACGTTCGAATTTTATCAGCGTGAAATATATCAAGATGCCAAAGTCTTTTCAGAAGTTTATCATGCCAATTAGCTCTGTTATAAACTTCTGGCCATGTTAAACACTTTTGTTTAGAAGTTAGTGGGCAGAGGTTGCCTACACTTGTGTTTTTTCACTGTTGTCATTATGAAAATAAAGCACGTACATGGCATCGAATGTGAAACGATAGACACGAGTTTCCTGTTTAAAAATTTGAATGACTGAGTACTACTAACGTGATCGCCATTTCTGCTATTAGTAATTTCGAAATGAGGCGGTTTCTTAATTAGCATTTTAAGAACTTTGAAAAGATCAACAATATTCTCTATTGTCCAACTTTGAAAGGAATTTACTACGCAACCGATAGAAAGATCGAAAAAGCCTGACACATTTTGTAGGCCCATCATCTCCTGAGTGATATAGTTCAGTCAGATTGGATGTCCGCGGTAACACAAGGGTTTGTAATTCAGTTTGGCAAGTGCGGTCAGTTTTGCGTTTAAAGGCCTGCGCTTGTTCACCAAAACAAAAAACGTTATTTTCGAATCTACAGTTCATTAGCTTTTCAATGATATATAGTTTACCGAGGTTTTCTTTAAAGCAGCGCGAAAAGAAAGTATTTTCCGGAAGGCAACCCTGAAGGTGTACAGTAACCTTAACACGAGGGGTAAGAATATCAATAAATACCTTGAGTGTTAGTCTATTTGCTTATTGGAGCTGGAAAGCTGTAATGTGAAAAGTTATGACTGTGTGCGGTCAGAAATCTGTACACAATAAGAATTTGAACCGCAGTCTAATGTAGTTGAAATCAGCGGTAATGAATGCAAGGTGACTTTAATTTGCAACTAATGCCCATGTCTTTTGTCTTCGTGTGCTAGGTTTTTTGTAATGCGGAGCAGGGGGCGGGGAAACGAAACCAGAAATTTTGAAATCTAGAGGCTTGGAATTGCTATTTTCAGAATTCACCAAGAGATATTTCTGACGATTTTTGAAAATTGTCCGAATATGGATTATACCAACCCCTGTTTACAACCATTTTCCGTCATATTCCGAGGATTTCCACGAGCAATTCGAAAATGCTTCGACTATGTACTAACAATAGTCAGTTTATTCATCACTGAAACAAAGCCAAGACTAAAGAAATCGTGACGTCATCAATAATTTCACTCGTATCTTGTGTGAAACTTTCACGTTTGGCAACGACGAATTTGAGATCAACTCGAAAAAGCCATTATGAAAAGAAACTGAGTGTTCGAAACACCAATACGAGAATTGTGACTGCGAAGAGGATTACAATCAAACTAAAACACAATTAATCTTAAATTTACTTAAAATGAACCTGAACTTACATTTTAGGCGCAAATTTGTTTCAATTACTGTTTTCCAAAAACTTAAATCAAACCAGAAACGGTGCTTTTT